AACACATCATAAAACACCTTACATTTCTTCTCATTGCATGAGTATCATTGTGCTGAGGCCATAAGAGTAGGTGGTGTTGCATGGACAGGGTATTATGGAGGCGAACGTGAAAGCCAAATTTGTGCACAGCAATGTCCCACAGACAGCTGTGAAGTGTGAACTATTTTGTCTGGAGAATTGTTGGCTGGGACACAGGGAGAAACTCCCTCCTCTTTTCGAATAGTGTTATGGGATCTTTAATGTCCACCTGAGCAGGCAGACAGGATGCGATTTAAAGTCTGATCCAAAGGATGACACCTCCAACAATGCAGTGCTCCATGAGTATTGCACTAGAATGTTAGCCTAAATTGTGAGTTTGACTGAAAATCGGATTCCTACTTACTGCTGGGTAACCAGAGGCGTGTGGAGTAAGGAAACTTGCTCATCGATACGCTCTGCCGGGAATCAAACCCAGATCCTCTCGCTTGCAAGAGAGTGCTCTAACCACTGAGCTACAGTACTCCTCACAAATGCCACTTTCTTAATATATGTAGCTTTGTATTTTGGATCTTTTGGAAACGGGGACCAGGATTTTAAGAACACATACCTGGATTTTTTAGTCTGTAGTGATTGAGCATAACAAGAGCCTCTAAAGCATCGCTCTTCGATTCTTACTCCGACAAGCCAGAAGAACTCTTCTCACCTTGGTTTGACTTTGACACATTTTTCCCACTAAACCATCTGGATGTGAGTGCCTAACAATTTCATTCAATCAAATGTGACATTAAGGAGAGGATTGACGTGCCTAGATTTTTTCAACATTGGCTTGACCTTTTTACAGGCAGATTTGAAGATATCTTTGTCTTCTTAATACAAGCTCAGCTGGTCAAACAGCTTTCAATAATTCAGCACTCTCACTGCCTGGCTTTACGCATGAAAAATGGTGTGTTACTAAAGAGCTGACGTTACCTGTGGAATTGTAACCCAGCACGAGTCACTACCTCCAGATGAGAATGGGAGAAAAAGGAAAATAAAACTCAATTTTGGCTTGGGTTGTGTTAGAAAGGAAAAGATAATTCCCGATTACTCCAATAAAGAAGAACAAAATCAATGCTGCCCTGTAGATCAGCTCAAAAAAAATTCTATTTTTTACAGGAGATCAGCAAATCAGATTCACTCTCACTTCACTTCCACTCGAATGAAAAAAATGATCTTCTGGGCTCTGTGAAGAATCACTTCACACAAAAGAAGATTTGTTAAAAATGAATATTTTGGACACTTAAAGGGGTAAGTACTTTGATAGTGCATTCCCTTGGCCGTCTTGCCCTTTAATATGACACTGATCTCATATATATGACAATGATGGAAATCTACTGTAACTTTGTACTTGGCATAAACCTTTTATAAAACAGATTCCTTATCGGTTACAGAAGAATTGCGAATGTCATCATTATTGGCAAAAAAGAAAGCTTGTTTGGAACTGTAAGTTACCGTTTTGATGCCTGTGTCTGGTTATAGTGTTTGCAATATTACCACAAGCCACCGTTTATTTATTGCGGGTGCCGATTGTTAATGTTTTTTTCAGGTTTGTTGGAAGTCAGGGTTGTAATACATTTAGTCGAAATGTTGGAGCACCTGCTGAATCTGTTCTCTTAAGATTGGTTGGTTCCACTGTTACCTGCAGCACATTGTTTTCACCCCAGCAGCATAGTTTTATACTCATAAGGTTGCTAAATCAGAAAACGATCTTACAAAAATACTTCTGAGAGCCAGCAAAGGAGCATGAGTAGAGAAGGACAATGTGAGTTTTGAAGGTGAGGCACAGCACACCATCCATCTACTGTTTGGCACTTGATTGGCTTCATATGTAGAATTACGTAGAGTAATGGAAACAGGAAATTTGGCCCAATTAGTCCATTGCTCCTGGACAAGAATTATAAAATAATAGATGAAAATCGTTTGTCCAGGGGTTCGAACAATGGCTCTGCTTTTATCACCGAGCTACTTGATGTACTAGAATTTTGACTAATTTGAATCACTTTACTTTGGCCAGCTTGTTTTCATGGCTAAATGGAGGCTTCAACACAGTGATGAAATATTTATTTACAAATGTGAATTTTCTCTTTCTAGCAAACATGTACAAAAGGAAAATGTCCTTTTTTAGATGAGTGGCACTGGGCTTTTGTTGTTTCCCGCTGTCAAAAACAGCAGGTGATTTTTCATTTTGGGTACAGAAGGGGAAAATGTACATCTATTTTGTGTGTGTGGAGATATCCAATTCCTAGCAAGGGGGCTTTTGATTCCCCGGCGTGTTTGTTTATACATCCACATACCTAGCGGCTTAATGGGTCATCTTTCTTCATACTCTGGAAATCCAGAAAAGCTCCAGAGATTTGGACTAGGTTTTTGAATTTGTAGAGTAATAGTAAAACTCTGAATCTTCTTCTGAACCTTGCTCGATAATGCAATCAATTCTGACAATCAGTTCTGCAAGTAACACTTTAATTACCAATGCCTAGAATTCACACATTTTCATATCTAGTTTTTAAATTCTTCTGTAGTGCTGATCTATTTTTTAGGTTTGGTCAAACCAGATTTGTGAATCAGATTAGATCCACTTTTAGAGATGGGTTTACGTTGTGGGGTAGTGAAACATTGAACAGCAGTGTGACATTCTGTGAATGAGCTCTAATTAAGCCATTTGTGGCACCCCAGATTTAGAGAACAATTCTATAACCAACAGATAGTTTGTCATTGATTGGCCATTTATAGAAAATAAGATACACATTAGTCATAAAAGTCACAACAGTAGGAGTAATATTTATGGGAGGGTGAGGGATTATTCTCAATAAAACTAGCCTCTGTTGTGTATCCTGCATAATGCATAGAATGGGATTAATTGTTTTCTTAAATAAAAACAGAAGTTCCTAAGAACAATCAGCAAGTCAGGCAGCATCTATAGAGAGAGGAAAGTGAGTTAATTATCCAGGTCGATGACTTGTCATCAGAAAATCGACCCGTTAACTCAATTTCCTCTCGCCATAGATGCTGCCTGACCCGCTGAGTGTTTCCAGCAACTTTTTATCTGTTTCTGTTTTTATTTCAGATATCTATCACAGTATTTTGGCTTTTGTTCATTGTTTTCTTGTTTACTATTACATTTTCTCATTCTCCCCTTCTGGGAGTTTGAGGTGACTAATGCTTAGTTATTGGCCCAATTGTTACTCACCTACGCATCTATTCTTCATGTGTGAGTCCAGCCAGTGAATGTCAGAAAGCTATTTGACTGTCAGGACATTGGAGCCAAACCTAATCCGGTTCTTAGCTGACACTCATGAATATGTTCAACTGTTCATTGGATACTGGTCAGGACCCTGGTTGATATTCCTGCCCCTCGTTGAGACTAAGTGTACATCTGAACCTGGCTAACTCAGTCCTGACTGGAGCTCAAAAATGCATTTTCCTTATCTATACATCAAGCATCTAGTCAATGAGCCATCAAAGATTTTGTTTAAAGCAAGTAATTCACATTTGTGCAATCACCGTAGAAAACAGATAGTATCCACAATGTAAAACAAAAACAATTGCCTCTGATCACACTGGAAGCAACAACTAATGTGTTCATTGTGCCAGACATTGGAATATTTTACTACACATCAACATTTTACTTTAAAATGGTCCTCTTTTGCTAAATGCAAAAGCTAGACTGTTGCTCGTTAATATGTATGAAAACTTGCAACACATCTTCTTCAAGAGCAGATATAATAATAATAATCCTTGCATTTGATATAGCACTTTTCACGTCTTCTAGACGTCTCAAAGCACTTCACAGAATAGACTGTAAAGTGAATTGACTGTATATTTTGTGGGCGAAATGCAGCAGCCAATTTCGCACAGCAGTGACCCACAAACAGTTTCACAGCTTAAAATTGAGTGACTAATTTATTATTTTATTAATAATTGTTTTTTAAGGAATTATTACCCCCAGAAAAGCAATCCATAATAACATCCGAGTAACAACTGGGTTCCTACTTACTGCTAGGTAAATAGAGGCTTGTGGAGTAAGGAAACTTGCCCAACGTTTCGCCCTGCTGGGAATCGAACCCAGATCTCTCGCTTGCGAGGTGAGTGCTCTAACCACTGAGCTACAGGACTTCACAAAGATGGCATTAAAAGGTGTTACAATTGTCCAAGGTATTCCTGAGTTAGGGAGGGAGAGAAGGTCAACCAGATTCGCTGCTGGATGCTGTGCGTGTATAAATTCCATTGAAGACAAGATTGGACTTGATGGTTGAATGACCTGTACACAAAGCATTCCCTAAATACGTTAAGGAACGCTTTAAGAAATACTGCAAATTTTAGTCCACAGAATGTTGCAACACAAAAATGGATGATTCAGCCCACCAAGTGATTTTCTCCACAGTAACCCAAAATATCCCACTTTCCTGCTCATTCTCCATGCTCTTGCACATTTTCTTTCCAAGCAAGCACCTATCTAATACCCTTTTAAAATAAAATAATTGCTAGACTTTACTTCAACAAAGATTTGCGGCAGAGAATTCCACATTCCATCCAGCCTCTGTGTAAAGGCGTTTTTTCTAACCTTCTCTTTAATTCCTTTTGCAATCATCTTAGATTTGTGTGTTCTTACTGTTGACACCCGTGGAAATTATCTATTGTAATTTGACATAACCTTTCAGAATTTTGAAGGCTTTTATTAGGTTAACACTTAACCTCTTCAGTTTTAGAGAGAGAAAAAGGCCTTAGCGGTGGCTTTAATTGAAAGCGACAATGTCTCTGACAGTCCCAGTTGGATTGCGATAATAAATTCTGTGCTGTGTTACTGTGATCTGAAATAACAGTTACTGAACAACGTGCGTTCCTAAACAGCTAGAGCAGGTGCTCAAAGATTCTGTCCATTTCAAGTGTACCCTGAGGGAAAGCAGGATAAAACTAAATCTCTCCCCTCATCTTTTTTCAAACGTACAGGCATAGGAAGATAAGAGATTACTGGAGGTTACCTTTTATTAATGGCCGCCCATGAAGCATTAATGTTATCTGCCATCAGTCCCACCTTCCTGGTGTCATCCGTGGAATAGTCCGTAGAAGCTTGCCAGCGAGGTCGTTAGCCACATCTATGTGTATCTGCCACTGTCGCAGCTCCTTGAAAAATTGCTGAAAGCAAAATCCAAAATTCTCATGAGAGGTAGTAATAATCAAGAAAAATGTAGAGGCCGCAAGATTCAGCAATGGACTGGATTCATTATTTAAATGAGGATCCAAAATTTGTATAAGAATTCTCACTGGGGTTTTTGCTGATCTACAGGTTTCATAAGTTTATCTCTTTCCCCATTCTGCATCTATCCGGTTCTATGTAAATACACTGCAATCATGAGTGAATGTGACATGTCTAATTTATACAATACTCTGCATAAAACAAGATGCGACAATCAGATTTGTTGCTCAAGATATGAGATTGACAGGGTTATTATTCTTTTCCAAAGTTTAAGCATCTTAAATAAATCATTATGTATTAAGATAAGCAATATTTTGTGAAGACAAAAAGACTGACATGTGATATTTTGTGAAGAATTAAAAAAAGGGAATCATCGCAGGGCTTAATTTTGTGAATGTATCAGCCTTGTATCATGATTGGATAATGGATCCAGTCACACAAAAAAACAGCACTGAATTAATGCCACCTACCGACAAAGGAAGGAAGGCTTCAATACACAGTGTCGTTTTACTGCAGCTATTGTGAAGTAAAGGCAATAGGGAGGTGGTAGACAATGCATCTTAGAGTATGTGCCAGAGTCTGGCATGATGCAGTTGTTTTGGTGAGCTTCTGTATAAACTTGTTTCACTAATTATGAAACATATTCACTGTTCATGGTAGTTGGAATATACAGTGACCAAAAAGTCTTATTTTGCAGCTACCTTATCATCTAAAAAAATCATAATTTCTTTAAGACTTATTAGATATTGTAATGGTATCACAATGTTTCGGTAACCCTGTATTTGTTAATGTTTATGACTAGCTGACATCTTGTAATGGCTGAAGTCTCCTAATACATCTATTAATACACCACAATTTCTCCATTTCCCTCCACAAACTGTTTCTGATAGACCCAAATATGTTTTCTTGGCTACTCGGTCATCAAAAGGTATACTGAGCTGACTGTCAGAATTCAATTTCCATTTCCACTATCGAAAGGTTATTCTACAAAGTAAAATACTGTTTGGAAAATCAATAACTGGATAACAATGCTAAGACTCTGGATATTTTCCAAGCTATATCTCACTGCTTTTCTTTCAAGTGTGCAGCAGTTAAAGTCTCAAGATTAAAAAAACCTCCTTTTCGACTTCCAATACAGCTTTGCCTGGACCACTCACCAAAACAATGCAATTCAAAATAATATTCACATTTGTACACTGTTCACCAGAAATTAATTGGCTCAAAGTAAGTTTGATACTAGTGTCGAGTGACTTTGAAAGCCAAAGAGTCAGATGAATAACTGTATGTTGAGGCCAAGCATGTAAACCCCACTTGTGGTTTCATAAAGTGAAAGAGTCAAGAATGTTACTGAATCAGTAGGATATCCATTTCAGCTCAAGACTATCAAATCTCTAGACTTTCAATATGCATGTACATTACAAGGCCATGTTATAGCAAGTTCGTAATTCAGCCTGACAGAATATTTGATGTACATTCCAAGCCACATCTCTGGTTGCTTTCCATCAACTAAATAATCATCTTTTTATCCATGAAGATTACAACAAAATTAAATCTGGTGAGGCCTATTTCTCGTACAAAACCATTCTTTGTTTCAAGATGTACATATATTTCTTTCCACTATTACTGATTTTTACATTTATAAAACATTGTAAGCATGTCTCCCCAAACACAACACAATACAAACTTCTGGCAGTTGAGAGCAGAGCCCCGGATCCAGGGTAAATAGATAGAGGAGGGAAGCAAATATTGTAAATATATGTAAATTATTTTATCCTGGCACTGGGGCCCCTAATGGTCATGTGTGAAAAAACCATAGCGTAAATAGCACAAATACTGGAAAATACAATTCAGAGAGTAAAGAGTAGCAGCAAACCCCATATGTTATGCTAACTTGTGAGACCTTGGCTTTGAGGTGATCTTGGGTTGGAAGAATCATGGAACACTTTTTCCATGATTGTTTCATTTATGTTATAGTTTTCCCTTACAAGTGCTTTTTGTGGAGTCCTGTAGCTCAGTGGTTAGAGCCTCGCCTTGCAAGCGAGACACCTGGGTTCAATTCCAGGCAGGGCGAAACCTTGGGCAAGTTTCCTTACCTCACACACCTAATAATAATCCCTCCAAAACAAAAAACAATACTAAAATTGGTCATTTTCAATCTACAACTGTTTGTGGGACACCTCTGTGCGCAATTGGCTACCGCGTTCGCCCACAAATATACAGTCAATTCACTTTACAGTGTTTCTGTGAAGTGCTTTGGGACGTACTCCCGACGTGAAAAGCGCTATATCAAATGCAAGGATTATTATTATTATTATTTTTCAACCCCCCTACCTCCCCATATGTATTAAGTATCATGTGTGAAACAATGTGTATATCGACATTTACAGATGATTTTACTCAAAAAAGACTGGCTATGAATTACCTGAGTACTTTTAATTGGTTAATAAACGGCCCTGGTAAATCGCTCTATGTTTACACATATCAACATCTATTTAATAATCTTAGTTTAGAGTAAGTAACCTAGATTAAGATAGTTAACAATAATGGGAAATTATATTACAAACAGGGAGCACTTAATAGTAGTTTTCGCCTCATGCCTGGATTGCAGATTTGTGCCTGTTTATAAACAATTGGAATTCATATCACTTTGGCAACGCAGCTCCAGAGATTGAAATGTGATGTTAAACAGAAGGTGTTGCTAAAGTATGTGCCACTGTTGTTGGCTGTTATACTGACTGGAGCCTGACATTTTGTGCAAGCACTGTTGTCATCGTTCAAGTATTGTGATGACCCCAAGGTATTGGCAATTGCCTGTGAACTATTACTGGAAATGTTTGGTGATCTTCACTTCCCAGAAAGCAATAGTCAGTGGAGGTTGAGTCTGAGAATCAGGCTCCTGGCTTTTGTTAACATAATTCCCAAATTACTCTTTGGTGAGTGGAGAGCACAAAAAGATTCTAACGGTCCTTTGGGCAATTGTAAATATCTCGATATCTAACAAGACATCTGAGTGTGCCTGGAATGTTGCTGAACACGCTTGCTCTGATTCAACAGGTTTTTATTCTTATTGAGCTGGATTTCCTGAATACTAAGGAGATTGGAAATCTGACTCAAAGGGACAAGTCTTGGGAGATATGGAGTCGCAAACTCCTCCAGCCATTTTCCAATACATGCTGCCTCCTGAGACAAACAGGTAGTTTAAAATGGTACGTGTTGCAGTGTCACTGGAGGAAACAGGAGGAAGTATAACAGGCATACCCATTGGTACAATAAAACAATATCATAGAAATACTACCATACACAGCCACTCTGGAAACACCATATCTAGAGGGCTGACCTGGATATACAGATGTTGAGTAGAGTATTTTGCAAAACCATTTAATTTAGTCTGTAAATCAGATGATCCACTTGATATAATACAATATACTATCCGTAATACAATTCAAGGATTTCAATCAAAGTTGTGGGTCAGGAAGGGTCAGTCCTGAATCATAAACAATGGCAATAGTCTCAGAAATTGTCCACTACCTCAGGAGACAGTTCAATTCAGTCCTAGATACTGACAGAAAGAGATTGCTTCTATTTAATGGTTGTTAAAGGCTAAATTGGAAACTTGAAATCTCGGAAAAGTTAATTTACTCTTTCTTTAGAGAAAGTGGTGAGACCTTGGAAAAAAAATAGAATTCAGTCCTAAAAAGTGAAACAGAAATTCAAGTTTTATGGTCAACGATAATAATAATAATAATCCTTGCATTTGATATAGCGCTTTTCACGTCAGGAGGACGTCCCAAAGCGCTTCACAGAACACACTGTAAAGTGAATTGACTGTATATTTGTGGGCGAACGCGGCAGCCAATTGCGCACAGCAATGTCCCACAAACAGTCGTAGATTGAAAATGACCAATTTAATTATTGTTTTGGGTTTTTTGGAGGGATTATTATTAGGCGTGTGGAGTAAGGAAACTCCCCCAAGGTTTCGCCCTGCCTGGAATTGAACTCAGGTCTCTCACTTGCAAAGCGAGTGCTCTAACCACTGAGCTACAGGACTCCAGAATAAAAAGAATAAAAAGACATGCATGAAAACTGCATTAAAATCAAGCCGTTTACATTATATTTTTGCCTGAGGGTCTGCTTCAGAGTAAAATGTTGCCTCTCATAATGGCTGACTGTATGGTTTGGTAAGTAGTGAACAGGCCAAGAAGATAATAATAATAATCCTTGCATTTTGATATAGCGCCTTATTATGTCTTATAGACGTCTCAAAGCGTTTCACAGAATACACTGTAAAATGAATTGACTGTATATTTTGTGGTTTAATTCTGCTCTGTTTATTGCAGTTTAGGGCAGTGTTTGGGTAAGTTTGCAGAAAGTGATCTCAATTTTCCGGGCTAGAAAGCCTAAAGCTTTGAACCCACAACATTTTAACAGAGAGGCTGAACTCTAGCCATTGAGTTGTGCAATGTAAGGGAGTTCAAGAACCTACCTAATGGAAATAGTTGATGCAGTGATCACTTACTAGTTTCATTGGGATCTTCTGTACCTTCTACATATGATGATTATCCACAATTATTTAATTTAAATGAATTACCAATGTTTAATCATTTTTCAAATTCAAAAAACTCTCTTATCCTGTTCCCTTCATCATCTGGGGTTGAAATAAATGGAAAGTCTATGAAAGGTGCATGGCATCTTGAAAGAGAATGCTTGAGAGACATGGAAGCCCTTCATTCTTATGACAAAATGAGGATTAGTTGGTCAAAAAGTTAAAGAAATTGCTTTGATCAATTAGGTGTAGAACTGTAACATGAAAATTAAAAAGTAGTCTTCGCTAGAGTCATTCCACACACTTACTGTACTTGTTTGAGGCTGTCTAATCCTAATCTACATGATTATGCTAAATAACCTTTATACAATCTCAGTGACTGTGTTCTCTTTAAAT